AAAGACAAAACGGTGAGGGAAAACCCACAAGTTGGAGTGACTCAAGTCTCTGCAAAATGGGGTCAACACCTTGTGTACGCTCCGAAACTGTGGTGATCCCATCTTCCGGGTTCTTCATAAACACACAGTATAAGTTAAGATAATTTCAACATAATCAAGTAGAAAGAGGAAAAAGGGGAAGTGAGTGGGATACAAAATTCATTAAATCAACCGTGGATTTCAGGGCTAGCCGTAGGCTTACCTGAGAACCCGTAAGAACTGATTCGGAAGCACCCATGGCCAAACACTCAACTCAATAATCAATAATCAATAATCACATAAACACTGATTCGGAAGTAGTTTATGAGATTTTGAGGTTATACGAAATAATACTGTAAATAACAGCTTAGCAATCTAACCTAATTTATTTACATCTATTAATTAGGTTAGATTGCTAAGCTGTTATTGGATACAAATATATCGGTTTAAAATATTTTTTTTTTGTTAAATAAAATTATTTTTTAAAAATATGATATGGTTAGTAGTTTATAAGATGTTGAGGTTATATGAAATAATAATTAAACTTAATTTGACGTAAAGATAAGATTGAGAGAGTTACTAGGGACCTTCTGGAAATCAAAGATAGTGTTATCTATCAGTCCATTGTTGAAACTCAAAGAAATCTTCAACAACAACATGGAAAAGGAGACCAACTTCTGATGGTAGATTACTAAGGATGACTGATCAATTTTCATAATCTTTACATGCTCACACCACAAAGAGGAGTAGAGAACTGGTTCTATATTCAGAGGGAGGTGATGATAACAAAGAGGAAGTTATGGATAAAAGGAGGAGAATTCAGTCAAAACAGGGAAAGGTGGATAAGGCCAGCCTAAAATGGCCCCAAGGCGACCAATGAAGGCTTGGTTGGCTCTTAACAGTTTCCCAAATCAAGGATGTCAGAAGACTCCACCACCCAAACATATTTTTCTTATCAGAAACCAAAAAAAACTATTGATTTTACTAGAACTATATGCAAGAAGTTAGGCTTTGAAAATAGGTGGTATCTGGAAAAGCCTACTAGTTCTAAGGGAGGGTTACTGGTTATGTGGGATCACTCTATTGAAAGCAGAACATTGGTAGAAAATGAATTCAATATTCAAGCAAAGGTGAAGGAAGAAGGAGGTAGAGAGTGGTGTTGGCTGACTTTTGTGTATATGAGTTATGACAGGAATCAAAGAACAAGATAGTGAGAGTTTCTAAAAGGCAGCAGAAGACATTTGGGGAAGTTGGTGGGATGTGTTTGGTGATTGGAATGCTATTACCAGTAATGAGGAAAAGAGGGGAGAGGCTAGAAAACCTGAATCCGGTTTTGTGGGCTTCAAGGAATTCATTATAAGAATGGAGATGTAGGAAATGGAGAAGGAGCTTTTTTCACATGGGGTAATAACAAAGCAAATGAAGGATATGTAGAGGAGAGGCTGGATAAGATATTTGTGTCATTAGAATGGCTGCTGAAGTTTCCTAAGATGGAGGTGTCTAACTTTTGTAAAAGTGCATCTGACCATAATGTATTTCTATTTGATACTGATGTGGAGATGGATATGAGGAAAAAGATATTCACCTTTGATTCCAGATGGCCTTAAATGGATAGGATTCAAGATGGGATATTTTGGTGGAAGGATCACAGATGTTTATGGTGCATGAAAAAGTAAAGAACACCATAATGGCCCTGCTGGCATGGTATAAACCCATCAGGAGAAACAATGAAAAAGTTATCCAAGTGCTTACAACCAGAATGGAAGAGCTGAGGAAAGAAGGAGGAGCAGTTGATTGGGATGAATGGGGTCACCTGAAGTCAGATCTTGATAGTGCACCAGGAGGAAGAACTTTATTGGAGATTGAAATCTAGAGCACTATGGCTGAAGGAAGGAGATAACAACACCCGGTTCTTCCATGCATATACTTCTTAGAGAAAGAGGATGAACTCAATCCAATCACTCACTTGTGATACCAAGGAGACCATCCATAACCATATAACTGAATTCTACTCTAATTTGTTTGCTTCAGAAGGAGCTAGAGAGGAAAAGGAGCTACTTCAACAGCTTCATTACACAGTTTCTGATTCAATAAACAATGATCTTATCAAACTGGTGGAAGAAGATGAAATCAAATCTGCTTTGTTCAGTATGCCACCTAACAAGTCCCCTGGAGAAGATGGAATGTCTGCCTCATTTTTCCAGCATTTTTGGCAGATAGTAAAAGGTGATGTTTGTTGTGCTATAAAAAGTTTTTTTTTCTACTGGACATTTGTTGAAGAATTGGAACCATACTGTCATTACACTGATCCCTAAATGCCTATATCCTGAATCCTTGAGCAACTATAGACCCATAAATTTTTGTGGGATGCTTTACAAAGTAATTGCAAAAATTCTAGCTGAGAGACTCAAATTCTGCCTGAATGATTGTGTTAGCCAAGCTCAAACTGCCTTTGTTCCAGGTAGGCAGTTACTAGATAATTTGGTTCTTGCTCATTAAGTTTTCCATTTCCTGCATAGGCATAGATCTGGCCCAAATGCTTTAATGGCAGTTAAATTAGACATGGAAAAAACCTATGACAGGGTTGAGTGGGACTGTGTTAAGCAAACTATGGCTAAGATGGGGTTTCATTCTTTGTTCATTAAGTGGATTTATAGTTGTATCTCCTCTTCCACCTTTTATTTTAATCTAAATGGGACTGTTTGTGGGTTTGTGACTCCAACTAGAGGGATAAGGCAGTGTGATCTTCTCTCACCCTATCTTTTCATTCTGGTTTCTGAATCGTTCTCTTCTTATCTGAATTATAAAGTGGGTGTTGGTCAGTTCCAAGGTGTTAAAGTGTCCAAAGAGGGGCCTATGCTGTCACATTTATTATTTGCGGATGATTCTTTAGTTTTTTGTAAGACTTTGCAGGTCAGAAGGTCAACCTAAATAAGTCATCCATGTTCATCAGCAAAAATTGCTGTGAAGCTCAGAAAATTCAGATCTGTTCAGTCCTCAGAAGTGTTGTGGTTAAAAGATCATCTAGGTATTTGGGGCTACTCTGGGAATCGGGACTTCCAAATTAGAGGCTTTTCAGTTTGTTGTTGATGCAGTCAAATATAGGATTGATACTTGGAAGAATAACTTTCTCTATACTGCAGGGAGAGAGGAATTGGTGAAAGCTGTCTTGAATGCATTACCAATCTTTGTAACGTCATGTTTTGTGCTGCCTCAAAGTCTGTGTCATGAGCTTTGCCGAGTGGTTGCCAGATTTGGTGGAGTAAAGGGGATGTACAAAACAGAGGGATGCACTTAATGTCCTGGGATAAACTATCTATTCCAAAGCAGGAGGGAGGTCTAGGGTTTCAAGACACCAGACTCTTCAACAAAGCTCTCATCCTAAAACAGCTGCGGAGAATCATTGCTCAACCAGATCTTCTTGTGAGCAAAGTTCTGAAATGCAAGTACTTCCCTTTTCACTCTATCTTTGAATGTCAAAAATCCAATAGAGCATCTTGGCTCTGGAATTATTGGGATGCCTTTATCCCTGTATTGCAGAATTATATGAGCATTATAGTCAGAAATGGGGTTAAAACCCTGGGATTAAAGGAGGTAAACCAATGCTGAGAACAAAAATTGATTGGCATTTGTTTTGTGTGAAGGATCTTCTGATGGCTGGGGGCTGTGGTTGGGATGAGGAACTTGTTAAGGTTCTTTTTTATGAGGAAACAACCACTAAAATCTTATAGATCAAATCTTTGAACCCAAGAGCTGCAGATCAATGGAGATGTTCTTTTCTTAATAAGAGAGTTTTCTCTGTGAAGTCTGCTTATTCAGTCTTGATAGGGGATAAGATCTGTGTTTATATTTTTCCACTTTCTCCTCAATTTTTATCTCTTCGTGTAAGATCTAGAAAGGTCATCATCTCGGGAACGTTGTACTAGAACCACGTGAAGGAGGTTTTTAAAATCTTGAATTTAGTGCGGCCAAAGTTTCTAACAATGGAAATCCCTAAAGCAATGAGGTGAAGGATCGTGGACTGGGCCGAGATCAACAATCGAAGGAACCTGATGAAAAACGATAGCGACGATCACTTGTATGAATTGATCGATCATACGCTAATCAAAGACGAGAATCATAAAATTAATACATGCACTAACGATCGAGATGCAGAGGTAGACAATCTTAACCATGAAAAATACAAAATACATTCACGTTTTCCTTTTTTATACATAGTGATAGGGATGTGGATGAAAATTTTTGGACTTCATTCTTGTAGTATTTATACTGATACGTGATGTTTCAAGTTGCCTCATAATCATTTATGTAGTATTTGTAGTATTCATGAAGAAACGATAATTCGAATGACTGGTTTGCCACAAAAATGCGAGTCATTATGCGACTGCTTCGCTACAGAAATGCGATCCATTTATTATTGTTATTCAAAAAATGTTGTCTGGTTAGCCTCGGAAAATGCGATTCTTTATATGATTGTTTTTAAAATCTTAAATTCAAATTCTGCGATTAAACTCCGTAGGACATACTTTACGATAGGTCAAAGTGTGACACGAATAGTTGTTCTTCGATTATTACTCGACAACTGTTTTGACGTATATTATTACTCGATAGTTATTTTGACGCATATTGGTCACAAATTTATTATTTAATACAAAAAAGTTTTTCACAGTAAATATAGTTGGTTCTAGCAAGCTTATTATCATTGAGAATCACATACAGAGGATGAGAGACATTTTGAAATCCTGAGATCATGCAAATAAAATTTTTCTTAGTCAAGTTTTTCAATTTAATTCTCAAACATTGATCACTTAAATATTTTATTAAATTCACCGATACCTCTCTATACCGAATCTCCGCAGGCCATTGTGGTGTGGACGTCTACAAAACCAATCGAAGCCTGAAAATGGTAAACTCGATTATGTTATTTTGGAGTAGAAGGAATTTACATACTGTTAATTCTTTTTCTTTCTTTTTTTATTTATTTATTTTTTGGGATTTTGTTGTCTAGGTAGGTTCTTTTAGTCAGCAGGTAGTTGCTTTTTTTCTCTTGCATCAATCTTGTTGTTCATTGATATAGTAGCTAAGGCCCTCAGAAGCTTCTACTTCCTAGCTTATGTATAAGTCAGCTTAGTTTGTTATTTTCGAGGCCATGTTTAAGGTGGTTCTTTGTTCAGCTTCTTGATGTTATTAGGCTAGTTAGCCTTCGGATTTTGTACATATTTTCTTGGTTGAATGAATTCTCTATCTTTNCGCATCACATATATAATTATGGCTATATATATATGGATTGGTTCCAATGCATCCACTTATTTAAAGTGTGGACGTGAGACTCATTCCTAGCCACAAGATTTGGTACATCATGTGTGGCCAAGATTTACTCTTTTCTTTTTATTATTTTAATTATTTAAATATTATTTTGACCCGTTAACTCCGACATTGACCGTTGACTTCTGGCGAAAATCGTTGACTTTCGGCATTGACTGTTGACTTCCGGTGTTGACCGTTGACTTCCAGCGTTGACCGTTGACAACTAACCTTCCAACTAGGTTAGTTCTCTGTAGTTGTTAGGTTAGTTCTCTGTAGTTGCTAGGTTAGTTGTATGTAGTTGCTAGATTAGTTCTCTGTAATTGCTAGGTAGTAGTTGCTAGGTTAGTTCTCTATAGTTGCTAGGTTAGTAGTTGCTAGGTTAGTTCTCTATAGTTGCTAGGTTAGTTGTATGTAGTTGCTAGGATAGTTCTCTGTAGTTGCTAGGTTACTTCTCTGTAGTTGCTAGGTAGGTCTCTATAGTTGCTAAGTTAGTTCTGTGTAATTGCTAGGTTAGTTCTCTGTAATTGCTAGGTTAGTTCTCTGTAGTTGCTAGGTTAGGTCTCTGTAGTTGCTAAGTTAGTTCTGTGTAATTGCTAGGTTAGTTCTCTGTAGTTGGTAGGTTAGTTCTCTGTAATTGCTAGGATAGTTCTCTATAGTTACTAAGTTAGTTCTCTGTAGTTGCTAAGTTAGTAGGTTCTAGGTTAGTTCTTTGTAGTTGCTAGGTTAGTTCTCAATAGTTGCTAAGTTAGTTCTCTGTAGTTGCTAAGTTAGTAGTTGCTAGGTTAGTAGTAGCTAGGTTAGTTATCTGTAGTTGCAAGGTTAGTTCTCTGTAGTTGCTAGGTTAGTTCTCTGTAGTTGCTAAGAGCTGAGCGCATTTTAAGAGTTGGACGCATTTTAAGACCTGGGCGCATTTGATCCGCCCCCTATATATATATGTATATAGGGTTGAGTTCACATGAGAATGGTGCTTAAAGAAAGAAATAAGAATAAATATCAACCATTAGATCGAACAATCTAACGGTTGATAAAACAGTTGGAATTATAACATCATTAAGGGTAATATGGACATTTTGGCAATAATCATTCACTACATCAATGGATCCCACACACCAACAGTCCAATTAATTATGTCCCCCAATCTCTCTCTCTCTCTCTCTCTCTCTCTCTCTCTCTCTCTCCCTCTCTCTCGTATACACGCACACACGCAGGGCAATAGATCTGCCATTGCCGTCGTCCTCAACCTCCTCCCCATCAACCTCCGGCTCGGCCTTGGCATCCGCCTCCCCAGCTCCTCCGACCGCCGCCTCTAACTCTTGTATTCTTCCCGCCTTCTCTTCCCCCATATCCGAAACAAGAGGATCCCGGTCCTCGACCACAGTAATGACGGCACAAACTACAAGGTCCGACAGCACGGCACCTCCGTCGTATTCGCCCTAAAAGTCCTCCAAGATGTCGCCGGCCTCCGCCACCGAGCCCTCGGCTATTCATTTCCGCCTCACCCCTGCTCCCCTAACTTCTCCACGAACTGAGGCACGTCTGATTCGGGAGAAGCAGAGGACCAGGCCATCAGAGTCGGATGGCCATAAGTCACCGGCGACAAGGGCCTGAGCCGACGAGATTTGGGGAAAAATTGTGTTGCTTGATTATGAGAATTAGATTATTTGCAGGGACTAAATTGCAATATTAATTTTTTTTTTTATTATAGTTTAATTTAACCAATACCGATTTCTCTATCTGATGATTTATTTAATTTATTGTTTGAAAGACTATTGTATTTACTGGTCAATCCGTATAACTCTGCATTATTTGTGTATGTACAGGCGTGGGAACATAATAGCTCTCTGTTTCAAACTTTTCTTATTTTGGGTTGATTTTATTTTTTGTACAAAAGTGAAAAGTAATTGAAATAGTTGTGAAAAAAAAAACTATTGTAGACCTAAAAATTGATTATTAATTCAACCAAGGAGATACTACACCATTATTATTTTTTAAATATTTTTATACATACATATATTAATATCATTTCCAAAATTAATATAAAATATTAACAAAAATAATATAAAATATTAAAATGTTATTGGACATACTGCACATTATTGACTAACGGGTTGCACTTTTTTGTTAGAGAGATTGCACCTTAGCATAATAAATGCACTTGTTAATTAAATTAATAAAATAAAATATTAAATAAAAAATTATAAATACTAAATATGTTTTTATAATAAATAATATTTTATTTCAATTATATTTGTGAATTCCGTTAACCAATCATGAAATATTTTGGTTCAAATTTTAATTTGGTTTGAGATAAAAGTTAGATCGATTCAGACTGCACAATAACGATCAAAACCGTGTACATTATAGTCATAAGAAAGCAATAACTCCGAGTGAAGAAAGAATGATATTCTCGATAGGCTTGTCCTGGAAAGAAAAGAATGGTCGGTAAGAAGCGAGGTGCGGAGTCAGATTCTTTTTTATTTGAGTTACTAAGGAGTTAAAGACTCAAAGTATTCGCTAATGTATTCGCTAATGTGTTTTTCCTGGGCTTCCCTTTCGATAAATATACCTGTTTAGCCCATAAGCTGAACATAAACCTAATATCTGCATTACCAGCGCGTAGGCCTTCAACATGAGCAGAAGCATCATTTGAATCCCCATTGCCAGGTACAGTTTCATCTCTATCATCCAAATCCCCTGCTCCATCTCTATTTCTTTCTACCGCCTCCGGTACGGAGCAAAGGAAGCGAGTATGCTGCTAAGCGGCATTCTAGCCGTCGATAGGGGATAGACAAGAGAAGAGAATAGCTTCGATACGACCTTCCAGTCAATGGAAATCTATTCCATGAACCCAAGTCCCGACCCAAGCTTTCTACGCTGAATGCCTCTGCTCTACATCTATCTCTAGGGCCCAGACTCAAAGGGACTTAGATAAAGGGAATCTGTCTGTGGCTCAAACATTCAAAGCCGAGCCATCAACATCTAATTTCAGTGCATCATGCTGTGGCAGCTGCCAACAAATGGGAAGCACAACTCGCTGCAATTTGCGACAGAAAAGAAAATTACACCCCATCAAAGATGAATCGCTGCTAGACGTCCGAACTGGCCGAAGTCCTGTGATTGCTTGGAACATCCCTGTTATATTCTGAAGGACTGAACTTAGAGCAGGCACCCCTCCATCTAAAAGGATTCGAGTGCTTATTAACCACAAAGCCCACAGAACAATCAAAGGAAGAAGCCGACAAATCTGGCGTATCGCTAATGATCGTCCAGTGATGTCCCAGCATTGGTGGAATATATCAAAAAGACCAACTTCCAGCGAGAGGTCAAAAAAATGAATAACAAACAGCCATACATCGCGGGCCAAAGTACAATGCAAGAATAAATGTTCCACAGAGTCAGATGAGAAAGAACAAGGACACTTTGAAGGCAGCTGAAACCCGAAGTCCATTAATATATCCGGGAACGGGAGAAGATTATTTAACAGGCTCCAACAGAAAATGGATAATTTAAGTGGAATGGATGAATGCAAACACCTCATGTGTAGGTTGTCTCTTGCGCACCAGCTGGTAAATAGACTTAACAGCGAAATCCCCCTGGAGACTCGGCTTCCAAATGATCACATCCGATCTAGGCAGGAATTCGAAATGGAAGGTCAGCACATATTGCAAAGCATCTTGAGGAAGCAACTCCTCCAATGCCGAGACATCCCACCTTCCATTAAGATTAACATCCTTAAGGGCCAAAGACCGCAAATCAGCATCATAAGCCTCATCAAAAAGATCTACTAATGCACCATTACCAGTCCAATCATCAAATAAAAAAGAAGAAGAGCCATCATAGACCTGAACTAGTGTATTCGAACGCATCAATGAATCCACATCAATAAGACGGTGTCGAGCAACGGAATTCTCCCAATAAATTTGTTGGAGATACCTCGCCCACAAGCCCTTACCAATGCACCATTTCCACCAAATCTTACAGGAGAAGGCACGCAATACATCCTCCAAACTGCGCAAGGCAAGGCCGTTTTCAGCAACCGGAAATGTTAATCTGTCCCAAGCTCTCCAGACCCAACGAACTTTTCGAAGCAAAGTTCAGTGAAGTCATAAAGGAAGGGTCGGACATGTAATCAGTCTTCTCCATTCGAGAGGAATGGTTGACGCTTTGAGCTACTCTACTATCTTTCTTACTAAAAAAGATGTAATTGAATGAACCTCGAAGATACCATACTTTTGTATCTTAAATTCACTAGTTTCAATCTAGTTTCAATATCTCGCTTTCGTTTCTGACAGCTTCTCTCTATTTCTATTCTTAAGTAGCTTTAGATCGGACATTCAATCTTTCTGTCGAATCTCCGTCTCAGGCTCTTGATCCGTTCAATCTACCCTTGCCTTTGGTTCTCTATTAGCCCGTCAGAGGGTGGGGCAGCAGGTCAGTAGAATCTACTAGCTTTGATCTCACTAAGTTCTGCTGCCTACAAACTGCCTAGACAGGACAGAAGAGGGGTACTCATGTGGTGCTACGATAGAGAAAAAAGAGAGCTCTCTACTACATCTCTTTTTTCCTTCATTGCGCTTCGCTTCGTTCGTTGGGTAAAAAAAGAAAGACTTTTTTGCAAATGCGCTACTGGTTCTTTGGAAGAACTCACTTTTTTCTCTTTTTTCTTTCGGATCCCATTAGCAATAGAGTAAAGGAATCACCAGTCTTTTCTGAATAGGCGGTCTTGCCGAATACAGTTAGCTCAAAGGTAGTGATCAGTGGAGGAAGAATCCGCTATCGCTTTCATATCCATTACTATCAGAGGTTGAATTTCCCCCTCTTGGCTTATTCTGACTCTTCGCCTGTCTGGCTATTAAAGTCTAACCCCAGGGTAAGCTCGTCAATCTGATCAAGGGAAGCTATTTACGATTAAGGAGAAGATGCGGCACCTGTATTGACTTTCACTTAGAACTTAGAGTACCTTGATATTAAAGTGTCAAGGCGGGCGATATGAATAAAGGCGGGGTGTACTGAAATGTAGCAGGAAGAAAGTTCCTTTTCTAATTAGTAGTTGATGGTGGAAATATGCTATTCGCCTAGGAATCCAATTGCAATTTCCCCGCCAACCTCTACTTGCGAATTAGATCAATGGCTGGAAATTCAATTAGAGGTGAAAACTCCAACCTTCTAGGGAAATCCTCCTATGAAGCCTACCCTATTCCTGATTATCCAAATCTCACTTCACTTTCTCCAACAGGTTCGGCAACATGAAAGGTTTCATCTTAACTCTATGTAACGTAATTTATTGTGGGGCTGAGGCGAAAGGGTGCTGTTTGAAGCTTTCTTTATAAGGAAGCAAGAGAGGTCAATTACATCGAGCCAATTCTTTGCACAAATAGGAATGGAGATTAGAAGAGAGTTCGGCAGGAAAGCGGCAATTCAAGTGAGCGACTATACGCCTGGCACCACAGGAAGATATGGCACCAACGACTCAATGAAAGGAGCTACTTGAACCCCCAGGCATACGGCCAACCATGGCTCGATATAATTGACATCTTGATTGCCCTTCTAAATAAGACATTTCTTGGAGATGTAGACAGATCCAATACCAGCGGATGGGACTAAGAGAGACTGAACTGGAACTGATGTTAGCAATGACGTGATTCCAGGCTCGGTTGGTTACGGAGCTAGAGCTTCAACTGGTACTGAAAGAGCTGAGACTGATGTTGCAGTTACGATATCTGGAGTTGATATCTCTTAAGTAAGAGTGACTGGTTCGGCTCCAAGCTTAGATGACGAGGCTGAAATTGGAGCTGATGTACTTGCTGTTTCTGGTCTACTTTCAGTTGCTGAAACTGAAGGAACTGCTGGGGATAGGACTGATGTCTCCGGTAAGTCCATCTAAAGCTTACAGGATATAAGGAAGATCGGCCTAAGAAAGCTGATCAAGCGTTTATTATCATAAGAGAAGAAAAACCGGGATGTCCGTCTGTCAGCTCGAGCCAGGAGCCAATGCGTCTCTCAGTAGTGCTCCGAAATGGAGTCGAGAGGTCGGTAAACCGGATAGGCTTGGAAAAGAAAAAGAAGTGGCGCTATAGAGTCTCATTCCCTATAATAGAAGTGGAGTGGTTGCTTGCTATTCCCATATCAATCGATGAAAGAGAACTAGGGAGTGCTTAGAAGGTGCGAAATTTGACCGGTGTCTGCTCCTCGTGGTTTTTGTCACTCTATCTTATTCCATATTTTTGGTTCTTAACCAAATGGAAGTCTTTCAGTTTCTCCTTTCTAAGGCATTCATAGCCGCGGGAAGCCGCACCATCTCGTCCTTATGATCAAGATGGGCTTCTCAGGCGGGCTAGCCTTTGCTTTTGGATTTGCGGTGAGGGCGCTCTTCTCGGGTGGTACGGAGGTAGTCTGTGGGATGGATGAGAGGAATACGCCGGCTTATCCGGACGACTCAAAATCTACGTCTTCATCGCTTTCGGGCTTTCTTAAAGTTCATGCTTCCTCCTCGTCTTACTCTCATACGTCCTTCCTGCACTGTCCCGGCTCTGTCAATCCTGCAATCCAGCCTGCTTTCGCTTACGCTTAGTAAAGGCTATTCCCGAATAAAATGAATAATTCATACCACTGGCGGAGACGTGGGTTAGCTAAGGGATTAGAGAAGTCACCAAAAGATTATTTTTTTCGCGCTGTCCTGCCGTATGTCTATGTTCCCTTTGCTTTAACACGTAACTCGTTTACTCCGTACCAGCTGCGGTAAGAGTTTAAGAACTAGGCTATAGGACTCCTGTACATGAAGAAGTGGGGAGCACAAAAGAAGAGTCCTCAATGTAATAGACCCTATAGGGATGGGAAACTCCGAACAACCTCTGCAACAGTTGAGGTAAGTGCCCAGTAGGGATTTACCTATTCTATTCTATAATATGTCATATACCTCTCTAACATAAGCTGACCACACCTTTCGAACCCAGAAGGATTCTTTTATATATCTCCAATTTACGATACAAAAAATTGAAAGTATATTATGGTTATACAAATTGCACATTAATGACTATCAGATTGCACAACCACGAATGCACTAAAAACTTTGGTTCAAATAATTATATTTCAGTACGATTTTTTTTATTTTGAACTCGGTTATTTTTACAAAAAAATATAATGTTGGACTAAATGCACATTAATGCGTTCAAGAATATACATTACTATAACATTGTACATTTTCACATATATTAAAATTTCAGATATTTTGGTTCGTAGTTACAAAATCAAAAACATAAAAAATAAAAATAAAAATAAAATAACAGTATAAAAAAGAATATTTATATTTTGTCTATACGTATTATTAATTCTCATCAGATAACAATATACAATATTTAATAAAAAATATAGATACCAAATATTATTTTATTGTATAAATAATTTGATAAATGTAAAATAATGTTGATTGAAGTACATAGTAAAAAAATTTCTAATATTCAAATGCACATAAAAATATATTGATCACCACACTACACAATTAATGTCAACAGCTCCCGACAAAATATTACACAAGATAAATTTTAAAAAATAGATCTACATAATAAATTAATATCAATCTCATCAGCTATACACAAAAAAACACAAACATTCTAACGTACCCAAATTTCAGTATTGCACTTTATATGCAACACATTGCACTTTATACAACAATACAGTGCACTTTATATCACAACATGATGCACTTTATAAACAACAAGTTGCACGTACCAAAATAGACTAAATATGCTAATCAATCGAATAATATAATGCAAGATAAAATTTTAAAAAATAGATCTACATAATAATTTAATATAAATCTCATCAGATATACACAAAAAAACACAAACATGCTAACGTACAAAAAATTCAATATTGCACTTTATATACCGACACGTTGCACTTTATACAACAATACGATGCACTTTATATAACAACATGTTGCACCTTATAGACAACACGTTGCACGTACCAAAATAGACTAAATCGGTTAATCAGTCGAATAATATTAGTTGGTTAAATGTCGAATTTTTTTTTAATAGAAAAAATAATATAACATGCCGAACTATATGAAAAGTATTACATATTTATTTTTTATATTAGTTTATGAAAAAAAATTACTAATTTTTTATATACAAATTTTATATATTGCGGTTGCACATTAGAGTTATACAGATCGCACATAAATGCATACCATATTACACAAAATCGAACGAGAAACTGCGAACATAAATTTTAATAGTTCGGTCAGTCGATTTGACCAAATCGACCGGTGAACAATATTGTGAATTCCGTAGTGTGTTAACATTTTTGCACTATTTGTTTTATTTTTCTTAAAAAAAAATAAATTAATATGCACATACACACTCAATATTGTGTGCTCTTTTTATCATTGTTGTGCATTTTAACATATTTATTATAAATTACACATTTGACCCGCGAACCAAATTGCAATATACCAAACTTTTGAGAATTGCAACTAAGCCCATATGAGTTATCAAATTTTCAATTTGAAGGCCCAAAAATTGAAATTGGATCTGCTGCAACACCACCCTCCTCCGCGAGGCACGCCGCCATTGTTCATCCCGCCGCCCGATTCTATGTCGTCGGAGAAGACCCTCGCCCGGGAAGAAGACGCCTGATGTCAAAATTCAAGTTGTACCTCCTCGAAATCGACTATGGCACCGAGGCCCGACAATGAAATTACAGAACGACGAGTCGCACGAGAACCTACCGGCGGCGTTCGAAGACGGCGTTAATAAAAGACGGTGACATTCTCTGTCACGAAGGCGGCGGCGTGCGTTAGTCGGGCATTATTTACGGCGACATCCACGTCCGTGGCCAAAGGGATGGTGGCGGACGTCGTAATATATGGAAGAGGGTGGCAGCGTCGATATCGGTGGTGGAACTGATAGCTGCCGGCGGCGGAATTAACAAGCTCACGGTGGAGCAGATCTACTGTGTGTGTTCTGTTCGTGTTCGTGTGTTATGTGAGAGAAAAAGTGTGTGTTTGTGTGTGAGAGAGGGTGATGGTGGGTGGGATGGGTGGGGTCCACGTGGGTGGATGAGGGGAGAGTTGAAATGTCCATTTTGTCCTTACATAATGCTTAATTGTATATATTTATCCCAACATGTTCATTTATTTACCGTATTGCCACCCTATGTTTGACTTTATCATGACCATTGACTTGATGAATCCAATGGCTTACAATCATTTTCATTTCTCGCATTAAGAGTCATTCTCATATGATCCTTTCTCTCTCTCTCTCTCTATATATATATATATATATAATTACTAGCTAATCTCATTTAATAAAATATTTAATAAAAACATTTTCACTTTCCGTTCAAAAGGAGTTACATTTTTTTTAATTAATTACTACTTAATCCCACGTTTAAGAAGATTTTTTTTTTAATTAAACCTGAAGTGAATAAGATTTCACCCGGGCTCTTTCAACTCGAATGGCCACCGGACCTGCAAGAACCCAACGCCGGGAGGGGTCCCGGCGTCGGGCCTCCGACGCTCAAGTCAGTATCACTTTAAATCCCAAGAGTATAATTATGGACGTAGAGAGAGTGAGAGAATGAGGTACCTTAGCCCTCTTTTATAGGGGGAGTGTACCTTATAGCCAAAGTTGGGCTTGTCCAATAGCATCATGCCACGTGTCCTAGCCATGTGTAGGCATATTCTTCAATATATTCCCTTCTTATCCATTAAAATCTGTTAGTATATAATATCATATATCATCTAGTCCCCCCCACTCTGGTCGAGTAAGCATGACTCGATCCAAGAGTGAAATTTCTCTTCGGGCTGTTTCCGTCAACCTGCCACTGAGGTTATAATTTGAATAAATCATCGACCACCAAATAGTCACCAATCCTCCAAATGAGCATCGGGACCCCAAATGAACGCCGAATGACCACTAAGGTCAAAAACCGAAAGACCTGCTACTGAGGCCGAACACCGAAAGCTGAACGACCACTGAGGTCGAAAACCAAATGACCCGCCACTGGGGTCGAATACCGAAAACTGAACGACCACTGAGGTCGAAAATCAAATTACCCACCACTGGGGTCGAACACCAAAAGTCGAGCGACCACTTAGGTCGAAAACCGAGAGACCTGCTACTGGGGTTGAACATGTTAGTGTTATATACTGAAAGCTTGGCTTTGCATGTTATTACACATTTACCCTTTATGAATGAGAATCATGTTAGATTAAACAAGTTCTACGTTCTGTTGTTCTGCACTTAGATGGAGTGGGTCGTCATCGGGCGTACCGAAGATCACTCTATCAGTTACTTGCGAATAAGAATAGTTGTTCACAACCTAGATGGACATGAACGCTCCATCCGAACGGTTGTAGTGTCAACTGTACAGTTTGTCTTGACTTATTAGTTGCACTAGTACATTTATGTATTGAACAGGATCCCAGAGAGGAGAAGTTCATTTTATACTGATCGTTGTAAATGAACTAGGCCTCGGTTAATTACTGCGTTATCTTAACCCGTAAGATATTAAACAGGCAGATATATATAATATATATTACTTTGATTCACATGGGTGAGGTTCAGTTCGCTGGATTAATATTCCTACTGTTTTGGGTAATATTATTATATATATAGGATGTGCTGTTAGGATATTTACGGTCACCATGTGCGTTAGTTTGATGATGTCCCTAGAGTGAGTTCATGAAGGATTGTTATGCTAAACCCTGCAGGTGGATTAAGTTCCGGCATAATAAGAATGTAATGAACGAGCGCTAGCTTCGGTGAAATAATAATAAATTAATTAATTCTTGATTGTCAGTAATTGAATTAATTAATGGACATTATATCTTAAACGTGGGGAGGTAAATCGAGTAATTATTATTGGAGTCTCAAATGTAATTTGGGCTAGGAAGAGGGAGTGCAATAATATAATGTTGGTGACCCATTAATATTATTTAATTAATTAGAGGAGTGAGCTTGGCCCACAGTTAGTCTAATTAATTAAGGAGCAGCCCTTTTCCTAATCTCCTTAGGGTCCCTACTGTAGCTCTATATATACATCATTAAGCTCATGAGAAGAGAACAGAAGTCTCATATTCACGAGATATACACGCCCCACGCCTCTCTCTCTCTCTCTAGATCTCATTCGAGCTTTATCTTCTTCTTGTTGCTCCACTGGTACAAGTTGAAGAAGGGTGTATTGAGTAATACAGTAGAAAATCTGTAAGTAAACCGAGACGAAATATATTTTGACCTACAGAACTACCCGGAAGTCCGATTGAGACGTACAGTATACCCAGACGACCGTCTCGACGAGAGCTTTCCATCGCTGCTGACGTCGCCGGAATCCGACGCTGCACGCGCCCTCACGCGCCGCCGGAAGGTGCCTGGCAGCAAAATCTCGTTTTGATCTGTTTGCATCCGTTTGATCTGGTTTTGATCTAACCTTGTTCGCGCAACCCAAGACGTAATTTGCGGTCAATCAATTGCGGTCAACCGTTCGTGGTCAACTAGATATACATAAATTTTAAGCCGTAAGTTCTCTACGTCAAACCTGTAGACCCGCTGCGCATAGGTTTACGTT